CTTATGAAGTTGTTTAACTCTTTGGTCATCTTGGGTGCATTTATCTGCCACAAAAACAGCAGTGCACAGGTGCAGAAATTCCCTTTCTTCTGGGGTTAACTGTTAATGATATTTAATATTGCAGTTTCATCAGCAAAGAGATCTTGACAATACGGGAAGCTGTGTGGCTAACAGACAACACATACAAATATGAAGACTTGGTCAGAATGATGGGCGAGATAATTTCTGCTCTAGAAGGAAAGATAAGGGTGAGTTTGGAAAGTGGATGGAATGTTTCACCCCTTGGGCTGCTACTGAAGTCAGGCTGTGGTAAGGAGCACTTCTTATCTAAGATGTTGGGGTTTCATGCAAGCGTTTTCAATCAGCTGTGGAGAGCATGCAGATACAAAACCCTCTGCCTTCCTGTAGAGATTAAAACTTAAGTTCTAAGAGGCCATTTATTCTTTCACTGGAGAATGCTTCAATGTCAGTGTAGTAGTTAAAACAAACAAACAAACAAAAAACCCTAATGTAAAGAAAACAGCATCTCCTGGAAACAACTGTTCTAAATACTTTGTGCTTGTCTTGTATTGCCAACCTCTGTTCTCCTTTATGCACTAGATACCTACCATCGTGGACTACAAGGAAGTATTGTCAAATGTAGTCTCACTGGAGAGAAGAACTCTTCACCTTTACAGCTTCATTTGTGAACTGTCACTCTTAAACACAAGCCTTTGTGTGTATTCCCCAGCTCGGCTGGCTGCTGCAGCACTGCTGCTGGCTAAGATACTACACAGGCAAGGTAAGAACAGCCTCTTCAGTGGAGCTGCGGCAGGGTATGTCAGTCTGCCTTGTCCTTTTAGGGAGGTGGGTTTTTTTTTTGGTGTTACTTTGTCTTTAGGCAAGATGTCCCAGTCACCTGGGGGGGAAGAGAGGGACAGGTGTAAGACTTCATAATGAAGAGCTGAGTTCAGTCTATTGTACCTCTTAATAGCTATGATGAACAAGAGTATTAGCATCAGACTATGCAAGCTTCGTGTTTAAATGAGACTGAAGATTCCTGTACTTAACTATAACTTCAGTTTGGCACATAAACCTATCCTTGAAGCTAGCTGTGAACTTGAACGAACTGTCTGCAGGCATAAGCTCGTGGAGATCATGATCTTTATCCCATAAAAAAAAAAAATCTGTCTGATTACAGAACTACCAAGCTTCATGAAATGGTAATGTGTACTTTCTTCTCCAGCACACCCCTGGACCAGCCAGCTCTCTGAGTGCACCGGTTTCTCTCTTGAAGACCTGTTGCCCTGTGTGCTAAGCCTCCACCAAAAGTGGTAATAGTTTTGGAACTCTTCTGGGAGGGCACATGAGTACTTGGATTCCAGCTCTTGCAGACACGCTGCATCTATAGAGTCAGCCCTTCCCAGTGAAGGACGTGGCTTTGGGAAACTGCCTTGCTCCCCCCACCACAAGGCACTAAAGCCTAAAGGCCAGTTCAGGGACAGCTCTTCTGTTTCTCACAACTGGTAGTGGCCCTGGGTTACAGAAAATGTGATGCTCCTCAAGGCTTAACAGGTTTCAGCTTGCCAAAGAGCACTATTTTCAGAAGACTGCAACTGGCTTATTGGTGAGCTTCAGAAGGAGTTCCAGTAGCAAGAGTAGCTCATTTTTTAAAGAGTACAAGGCAAATATCGTTTACTTCAAGGAACAGAAAAGGAATTAGATGCTCGTATGCTGAGAAACCAAGTGTCCTGGCTAGCTGCTTAGCAGCTCTGCTGAAACACCAACTTCCTTAGCACAGAACTGAGATGGACAGAGGGAAGGTATTTAAATTGGCAGGTTTTGCTGAAATTGTTTCATATAATCCATTCTAAGATTGGGGCTTTAATCTTTCTTTCCAGTTTCCATGACGATGTCCCAAAGGATTATAGGCAGGTGTCCTTAACTGCAGTGAAACAACGATTTGAAGATGAGCGTTATGAAGAAATAGGCAAAGAAAAGGTGGGTTAGCCCTTTGTCTTCATTTGCTGATGTCTGACACCAAGACCAAAGCTACCATATGGCAGGATGTAGTAAACTTCAAATAATGGGAAGCGGGTTCTAACTTTTTGGAGGACAGATTATCTAAATAAAGTGGTAGTCTTAAACTTGATCTGCGGGGACTGTAACTGCTCTGTTTGAGTACGTGTGGGAGGAACTCACTGGGGTAGATTTCTCCTAGAAAATAAAGATAAATAGCCTCCTTCTGGCTATCTGTTCCTTCTGGGAATCTTATGGTCTAATTCTTACTGGCTCTCTGATTTTTTTTATTTTTAGATGATGAGTTACAGCCAGCTCTGTTCATTGTTGGGTGTGAAACAGGAAGACCCGAAGCCCAGTCCCTTGCACACAAACATGGTGGAAATTCAGACTTTCCTTAGCTCTCCCTCTGGAAAGAGAACTAAAAGGCTAGTATAACTTATCACTGTAAATCTCCCTGCCCGCGGCAGGGGGGTTGGACTAGATGACCTTTAGGGGTCCCTTCCAACCCAAACTATTCTATGATTCTAAATGTCTCTGAAGATTAGCAGGAGCCTTTCCTCCTCTCTGGTATCCTGAGTTTTCATTCTTAAATATGATCAATTTTTCTGCAACTACCTTGACATACCTATTAAAAGAGCTGGAAAAAAAGACTTGGCTTTTAATGTGCGACTTCTGGATTTTCTTGCTGCAGGAGGAGGGAAGACAGCATTCAGGACGACAGAGGCAGCTTTGTGACTACACCCACAGCAGAGCTATCCACCCAGGAAGAAAGCCTTCTAGATAACTTCCTAGACTGGAGTTTAGATTCCTGCTCTGGTTATGAAGGTGATCAGGAAAGTGAAGGCGAGAGAGATGGAGACGGTGAGGGTTTTATTCTCCTTATAAAAAGCAGACGAGAGAATTAAAATTGTCTCTTCATCTTTGCTTAAAACTGTTTCTCAGGCAACAGAAGCCTGAACTTTCAGCTGAAGATGAGTTGGAAAAACTCTCCCCCTTCCCCAGTGGTTATAATTGTTGAACTATTTTAGAGGTATATATCTGTTCTCTTTCCCTATACTGCTTCAGAACATGATGAAGGGTTTTGTAGCTGCTTAGCGTTTCGGAGCGAGACTGTTTTCAGATACCACTGATAGTGGACCAAATGTGATGAATGGCCCACTGTGTTAGAAACACTGTATTATCTGTTTGTTTTGCTGACACTAGGACTGGCTGTTCACTTTCTAAACAGCTTTTAGTACCTATCCAAACAGCCTGAGGCGGGGAAGTTACTGTTGTAAATGAGAGTGAACTTAGTCCTCTACCCTCCCCTCCATGTTTACTTAAACATAAGGTTTATGCTTTTGCCTGTTGTGTTTTTGTGGTTTTTTTTTTTCCTGCTTGATTCTGTGCTGAATGCCTGCTTGGTGTGGCCCAAATCAAACCTGACCTTTTTATCATTCCACAGTGACAGGTCCCAGTGGGATCTTGGACGTGACGGTGGTCTACATGGATCCGGCGGAGCACTGCTGTCAGGACTCCAGTGATGAAGACAATCTAGCTGTAGAGTGGGCTGGGCATGCGGCACCACTGAGGGAGGCTAAGCTGCTGGATGACACTCGCAGCCTTTCGGCATATCGCACCCCAAGAAATCCTAACCTGGAAGGGAGCTCAGGCTACTCTTCCGTCAACAGTGCCAGTCCTACATCTTCTGTAGAAGGCAGCCTTGGAGTACCTCTCAAACCTACCTCAGCACTGTCTCTTGGCAGTGCCATGAACAAGGAGCCACGCCTGCCTCATTACCTGGAATCATGTTTACAGTCAGTCTGTGCTAGGCCTAGCGATGGCAAGTGTGACAGAAGGCAAGTCAAGCGAAAAAATGTGGCAGAACACAGTGAAGAAAGGGTGAACTTGGGCTTCTTAAGCCTCTGATTTCTTCATGCTCTTTACTTTTCTAGGGTTCCTGGAAACAGTATTTCTGTTGTAGTCATACAGGGATGATAGCGAATAATTGTCAATACCTCCAAAAAGAGCCCTTCCCCTCAACTTTGCCTATGCCTGTCTTGTAATTCTGTAGCTCACTTCTGGGCCATTTCTTTCCTTGATAGCTGCCTTTAAAAATATTCCATATTTTCTGGTCCTCTGCAAATTAAGATTCTTTTCCACATACAAAACTTTTTATAGCCCATTTTTGTCACACCTCACCAGTTTCTCCTTGGTGATAGAAAAGAACTCGTCATGTCCCTTGCTTTGCTGTGAGGCTTGGCACTATAAAAGAAAGGAATTGACTTTGGTTCTCAAGTTACTGGATGCAACACTATGCTTGAATTCTTCCACTTAAAAGGTCTTTTTGAGGTTGTGCTGCCTTTTCCTTCTGGCCAGGTACTGTCTCACTCAGCTGGTGCTTCCCTCTTCTATGTATATACCATTTGCTGCACTGATACAAGATTTTTATGGATATAATCAAGAGGTAAATGAAGGCTCACTGCAAGTCTGAGCTTCTTTTTTACCTACCTCTCAGATGGTTTTAAACCCCATTTGCCTCAGGCTCTAGTTGCCGTGTTTTCCTCGCCTGAAAAATCCTCCTCCTGTGCCTTAATGCTTCACTGCCCAGTGCTACAGTAATGGGATCTCTGTGAACTGTTGGTCTCTGCTGGAACGGTGTGGCTGAACTGCCACCTCCAGCCAGTGGCTCAATTTCATTTCCTGTCTCGCACGGTCTTCCTTGCTATTTCTGTTACTGTGTCCTCAAGTAAAGCACAAATCACTTGAACACTAGAAATGGGCAGCAACGTAGTAAAGGCAGACAGTTTGTTGTACTGAAAGCCCTAATTTAAGCCTCGCTACTGGCTCCTGATCTGCAAGAGCAGCATATGCTTTTCTTATCAAAAATTAAATCTGCTGCTTCGGTAACAATTTGGAGAAACCACCTACACTGACCTCAGCCTAGCAAGCCTGGGTTACAGCTCCTTCAGCCTGTGAATGTTAGGAAAACAGCCTTCTCTCTACAAACAGGTAGTGAGCATTGAAATACCAAGGTACAAGACTTCCAGGAGATGTCACTGAATTTAACACTGGAACTGGACTCCATGACTCCTCCTTTGTTTAAAAGTTACTGTGGCAGATGGCAACAGTTCAGATACACACACAGAGTGTAGTGACTTTTTTATAAAACTTTTTTTAATATAAATGGCTCCCTGTCTTACTTCAATGACTGGTATCCCCCTGACCTGGGGCTTGGAGAACTGATGAGGTGTTTGGGGATTATGATTAAGTTGCAGATGGGCCTGCCTGTAGGCTATTTGTGTTAACATGAGCAGCTGGGAGAACACCCTGCACAAATAGGGCTCAAACCACTGTCACAACTCTACAGCAGCCCCAGAAAGTGAGCCTACAGAAAGGCCTCGAACATGCCAAATAACTAACAGCAGCCTTGGGTGCTTGTCCACAAAGTTTATTACAAAACTATGTAATGCTACTGTAGTTAAAAAAAAAAATTCCCTGATTTAGTTTTTCTGTGCCAGGCTTCACCCTTCTCCCAGTGGCGACACTGCCGTTCTCCAGCTACTGCTTACAAGGACTTGCCATGCAGGAGTGTCTTCACGTTAACTTGTTACAGCAGTGGCTCAAAATTCAGCATTAGGTCATATTAAAATTGGAAGAAAACACTTATAAAAACCTCTCTCAGTTCTAAAACAGGTAGGTAAAAGTTAAATATCTGTGGGAAAGGCCACACACTGCAGAAAGCTTTTAACTCTTCCTGTGCAAGTTTTCTCGATCTGAAAGAAGGCACAAAGTAGGAACATTAATCAGTTCAGTTCCTTCCCAGGAAGAGTAAATTAGGTGATGAGGAGCAAGCTCCATCTTCCTGGGGCTTGCTGCTTAATCCAGTGGCCCTGGCTGATGCAGCCCTGGCCTAAATCCAGATCTGTCTCTATCAAGCCTCAATCTTGGAGGTGCCTCATGGATAAAACAGAGCACCTGGGCCTAGGGAGCCACCACTTACTGCCCAAGGCAACAGAACCAGAACTACAATCTACTTCCTGAAAAGGAAAAGCAAAAGATACAGCCCAGAGCCTCAGTTCTAAAAAAAATGAAAAAAGGGCCAGATTGCATCAGTCTGCATTTTGTTAGCTCCTCCACACCCCTGCAGACCGTTCAGCCTTTGCTTTATTAACCCTTGTTGTATTCCTCCAAGGACAAGTACTTCCAGAAAAAAATTGAGGAAACATATGCTGTAACACAGGCTAAGCCTGGCTTTGCGTAGCACTGGACTGATCTCTTAATAGGGAATGCTGAAGGGCCAGTGCTCCCTCCACGTGTCAGGAAGAGCCCCTAGGTTTCACTGGGAGAGATTTCACAGACCACCCTGCTCTGTCCTCACCTCCCGACTGCTGCCTGCCGCACCCCACGAGCGGGTCAGCAGCACTGTGCTGCTCCTGTGCTCCCAGCAGTACAGGGGGACAAGCGCTTTGTGCTGCTGCAGTCTAAACTACTGGCACTTACTTAGGGCACCATTTTGACATCCACAGAGTCATAAGCTGAAGCTTTCGCTTTTTCCAGTGGCTTCTTGAAGAGCTGCCGCAGGGCCTCATAGTCAGGCTTCTCCTCATACTCTAGTGCCATTACTTGCTGCAGGTAGCTCTGTAGGGCATCTGCAAAGCAAGGAACATCACTGCATGGAGCAGCACAGCAACACCAGTTGTCCTTACAAAGCTGCCAAATGGCCGCCTCAGACTGCTCTCCCTGTAGACAGTTCACCCACCTACCTTGGCCAGCCGCAGAGAGCGGAAAACAAAACCAAAGACTAACGTGAAGCTCAAAGACAGGACGGGGAAATGACCTCCAGCCTCAAATGTTGCATTTTTAAAGCCACCAGAACACTTGCCTCTTTAGCAAGGCTCATGAATACAGAAAATGGGTAAAGAAAACAAGGAATTTGTTCACAGGAGGAGCCTGTCAGCCAGTCTATGCAATGCTTGGTCACCGTCGCCAGTGGAAGCCATCCTGGACTAGCACCCCAGCACAGAGAAGGTTCTAGCTTCAGGTACAGTCAATCCTCCTTCCCCAAGTCCCACTGTCACAGAGAGCAAGCCCATACCTGGAATGGATCTCTGCCTGAAGCACAGCCGGAGAAGGCATATCACATCCCCTTTGTACCTGGAATAAGCAGTGCAGAGTGCTGTCAGATGAGAAGCAATGGAGCAGGCACCTGAACAGCCTGTCTTTGGCAATAGGGGCAAAAGAAACCAAAAAGCTGAATTCAGATGGCCACATTCTGAATGGAGCAGAAATCAGGGTTCATCAAACACCCTTTGGCCAGGCTCAACCTTTACAGTGGGATTTACCCACATCCCAATAGTGTACTATGGCCGAGTGATTTCTCTTCAGTCACAAAACCTCCCTCACTGTTTTCCGCTCAGCATTTCCCAAAAGAGTAGATGATTTCTCCTACTTTTCCTTCTTTTCCACCACAGTTTCTACTTTGTCCAGTTCATCAGACCAGGGCAAGAAGCCACAGAGCCATTTCAGAAGACAGTAGCCCAGAGATTGCAAGTCACTCCGGCGAGATGGTCCTGATGGGAAGGAAGAGATATTCACGTGTGAAAAAACAAGAGTTTGGGAGCCATCTCAGAAGAGGCCCAGGCTAGCACCTCTCCTCCAAAGGCAAGTAAGGACTCCAGCACTCATTGCACAACCTTGGAAGTCTCTATTTGAGGTGCCCCTTCTGTAAAACAGGCAGCCTCATGAAGGGGCAAAAGCCTAAAGGGCAGAAGTGAAGAAATGCAAGAGCTTCATTAAGACGTGCTCTAGGATATCAATACCTCTGGGAGCCTGCTGACTCTCACAGTTGAGGAATCACCTCCCAGCCTCTGGAGGAAGATTCGTCCAGTCTGAATACTGGGAGAGAACAGTCACATCCCAACCAGCAGAGGAACTGGCTAATTTAAATGCCTTTCCAGCTCTCATTGCTGCAAGGTCAGAGCAGAGCCTGCTGCAAATCTGTTTTGGGCAGGGATCCAGTCTGGCTTGAAACAGATCCCTGCTAAGCCAGCGCAAAGCGGCCCTGTTTTCTATTCCTCGCACGCCTGCAGTAGCCAAGGCTCCAGATGGCGCAGGAACATCCCTGCACCTCTTGCTGCAGTCGCTGAGTGACCTGGCAAGTCCCAACACAGCAGCCCAGAGAGAGGCAAGAGTAAACAGCCCAAATAGGAACTTGGTTCCAGATGCATGTGAATGCCTGGAAAGCAGCCATAACAGAAATGCCAGCAGGGAGCCCTAGCTCCAGAGAGCACTGCCACAGTAACAGCTCTAGCTGAGCTTTGCTGGCTTGTGTCAGAAACAGAGACTCACCTGCTCCCTTGTGACTGTCCAGACTGATAAACTCTATCGTGCCTTCATGAGGGGTCCTGCTGCCTTCGCGCTGAGCCACGTGCTTCCCTCCCGGGCAGTAACGGAACGCAAAGCAATAGCCTGCTAGGGTCACCTAGAAGACATCAGGAAGCACGCACCTGAGCGTGCGCGGGGCGTGAATTCTGCTTACAGCATAGCCTGCGATCCTGCACCACAGCACCTGCTTGAGCACTGCACAGACTGCACTGCTCCCCTGCCCAGCAGCAGGAACCCGGGTGTGGCTCTACCCCATTTCACAAGCCCACCTTCACTGCCATTTCTTCACAGCACTGCTCCTGCTCCCTACCTGTGTGAGGTCTGCTGGGTTCAAATAGACGTTCTCAGCCGTGACGTCCCCATGCACGTACTCGTTTTCATGAATGTACTCCAGGCAGTCTAGCTAGGAGTAAGCAGAAGAAGCGAGCATATCAGAACCACACAGAGTCCTTCAGCACCCTGGCTATCACCAAGCTGGACCCTCCCCAGCTCCCCGCAGCTGTGTGGAGGAGCACAAAAAGCACCATGTCTCACAGCCTCTAATTTTCAAGTGTCAGGTTTCTCTCATTCTCCTTACCCCAAATTCCTTTGAGGTGACATATTGCTCAAAAGATGCTATTCAAGTTTACAACAGGCTCAAGAGATGCTACTTAGAGACCCCAGCCAACCCCCTGGATCAGCTTTAAAACACCTCTGAAAGATCCAGAAGAAAGTTATAGGTCTTTTCTGAAAAAGTCTCTTAGAAAGTATTGGTTCTCTACATACCAGCCGGACTACAATCTGAAAAGCTGCCTTCTCCCTCAGCAGGTGTAAGCTATCATTCAGGACGGACTGAAGAGTTCGCCCTAAGTCAGAGAACACCAAAAACCTACAAGAGACAAGGATTTAGTTCATAGCAGTACCTACCTGATTTGGAAACACTGCAACAGAGACTTGTCAAGCGATCCACCTGGATTAGACCCCCCTTCAACTCCAAGTTGACCTGGGCAAACATTTCCTCAACTTCTGATAACAGAAAACTTGAAAAGGAGAGACGTGCTGATCGTGTGTTGCAGATATACAGCCTGAGTCTCCCCTTTGTGTTAAGCTTAAAAGGCAGGAATAAGGTGTCCCCTGGCCTGAGGGGCAGAAGCAGCAAAAGCAATGACTTCACCAGCAACACAAGGACTGAAGGAAACAGGATAATGAGAGGCAAACCATTTGTTAATAAATGAGATAGGAGCAGCGCATAAGGTTAGGAGCCCAGGGGACGAGAAAAGGAATAGCAGACAGCAAGGAGAGAAGAGGGAAAGCCCAAGAAGATGGCAGTTCTGAACAAAAGAGCTCAGCTGCGCCCTTTGCAGAGTCACCTCACCTGTAGCTATCTGCATGCAGTCCAAAGCCAACACAATTGGGGATTCCCAGCAACGGCACAGAGTGCCACTTCTTCCACTTCTCCACTAGAAGGGGAGAGAAGAGGACAGTGTGGCAGACGCTGATAAGGAGCTCCAGAACGAAGGAGCTCAGTCAGGGATGCCCTTTCTCCGAAGGCCTGCTCTGCCCTGGGCAGCCCACAGCAGGAAGCCTCTCTTGTACTGATTCTGTCCCAGAAATACCAGCCTGATGTGCTGGGGTATTGGCATGTCAACGCACATAGCACTGCAGAGCAAGAATAAGACAAAGGATGCTGGAAATACCAGAGCAGGCTGAGGCACGTGATTGCTATAGGGCTAGGTAAAAGAAGAAGGGGGCAGAGAGAGAGAGGGATGGAGCAGCAGATTTTTACAGTCCTCCCAGAAGTGCAAGTTTGACGTGAATTCCTCCGTCACCCCTCCTCAAACACCTGCCCACGTTTTCTGGTCAGCTTTGCTCTTGCTCAGGCTTCTGGGTCAATGGCGTAAATACCAGACAGCAGCTGACGGAGACACCCATGGAAGGGGCACAGGAGAGGGAGCCAAGGCAGGTCAGGCTGCAGGGCCAAACAGCCACCAGCGAGGTCAAGACAAAGCATGGGAAGAGCAAGAAAGCTTCAAAACGCCAATACTGCAGCGTCCTAAATGTACACAGAGGCGCCTGGGAGAGCAGGCTCTTGGCCAAACTTCTCAGCACTCTGGCACCAACCAAGCAGTGAATTAGTCTATTCTAGTCTGGCCTTCCGAGAGACTCACGTAATCGATGAGAGAGGGAGGCCAGTTTTCCTAACAAGCAGCCTAGTCCTTGCCCTTCCAAGAAGCACCAACCTGTGCCTGCCTTCGCAGCTCGCTGGAAGAAGTTCTGTTCATTGTAGATCTTGCCATCTTTGACATCCTAAAGGGAAAAGGAAGGAGGAGCATTACTTCAGCCACACACACCCTGCTACAAAGGGAAACTTGGGCAAGACTGCTACAAGACCTTCACTACTCATTTTAAAGAAAGCAACAACCCCCCCCCCAAAAAAAAAAATAAAATATCAGCAACAGAGCTGAGAACTCTGGCAGGTCTTTTGGTTCACTAATGCTGTGCCTAAGAACCACATAAACTCTGAGCATCAGCACAGAACAAGGGAGCGGCTGTCTCACGTTGGACATTTCAAGCACTACCACTTAGAACTGTCTGTGGGTTAAAAGCATCTAGATGATGCAGACCATCTGGCAACCTAGAGCGAGCTCTAGTCCCAAAGCTATTATTTTAAAAGGAGCCAGAGGTGACCTTATCCACAAACAGAGCTGACTCTGGCAGGTCTTTTGGTTCACTAATGCTGTGCCTAAGAACCACATAAACTCTGAGCATCAGCACAGAACAAGGGAGCGGCTGTCTCACGTTGGACATTTCAAGCACTACCACTTAGAACTGTCTGTGGGTTAAAAGCATCTAGATGATGCAGACCATCTGGCAACCTAGAGCGAGCTCTAGTCCCAAAGCTATTATTTTAAAAGGAGCCAGAGGTGACCTTATCCACAACACAGATGAGGTTATTTCTGCAAACAGGCAAGTCGCAACAAAGAACTGTAACATTTTATTCTAGCCGTCAGAAAGCGAGACAAGTCAGAAAGTCTGTATTGGTGACATTCAAGTCCCTGGGTAGTGTGCTGACATCTTACAATCAGCAAGCATTACTGCCCTTTCACTACCGCTGTTATTGAGTGACCTGAAATGCATATAGTTTACAGTCAATATGTATGTGTTTGCCTACGCACACATGTGTATATATATATATTCAGCCTACTGCAAGCTAACTTAAGACAGATGCTATCACGCATGGGAGGAGGCAGCAGTTTTATATTCTGGCTGGTTTGATTCCAAAGGCCCTACCCACAACTGGCCAAGGCAGCTGGAGAATCAGCAGGCTCCAGACAACACAAACGGCCATGTTCCAGAGGACATTTTATTCTGCACCTTGCCTGGTGAGCCAACCTGAGCCATCAAACCCAGGAGCCAAAATGCTCTCGTGTGCCGTATCATACTCGACAGTCCTCTGCAACCACAAGGGCTAGGCTGCGCCACCAGACTACCGAGCAAAACACCGAAAGATGCCAAAGGTGCAAAACAGAGCTGGGCGTGTTGCGTACAGAAGCAAATAGTTTCCCACCTACCGGTTCTAATTTTGTGGCACTTAGCTGTCTTTTCTCATTAACACTGTATTCTTTCTCCATCCTCTTAAACGGCTCAAAGGGGAGAGGGACTTTTCAAGGGTGGGCACCACCAGGTCCCCCACAGGGCCATTAGTCGGCACTGGTCTTCCCACAGACAAGCAACCCCCAAGAGCCACAGCAGACAAGAAAACAGTCTTTCTGCTCTGGTTTGTGAGTTACTGAAAATCAAATCAACTGAATTTCCATTGCAGAACATCTATTACTGGAAATAACACGTTTCTGGAGAACCCAAGTTATTGGCAAGTGCCTAGAAAGCTGGCTCGGAACTCCAACTATAATTACTGTTTGATTTAAAGATGTGCTCTGGCCTTACAGAGTCTCTCAGTGCTGGTTCATCACACTACCTCAGCACAGCCACCAAATTCTAACCTCTCCAGTTTCCCCAGACTTCAGCAGGGTACGCGCACACTTGCCATACAGGAAGAAAGCAGGTCTGACATTAATGAATCAAGATCTCTACCTTACACCACCAAATTCAGTTTTGGAGATTACGGAGCTCGGTGGATCAAAGAGGCAACCTTTGGGGATGAAGGCTTTTCCTTTTTTTAATCCTTATACCTGTTTTCTTCACACCTGTAGCAGAAGAGCCAACTTCTACTGAAATCCAAGCATGACACTCTCAGGAAGTTAAATCCATCTCCTAAGCTAGAAGGGGCCTCTGTGACCACTTTCTCTGAATTCCTCAGACACCCTTAGCCATACAGGCCAAATGGGTCGGGCCCTGGACACAGTACACTATGCACTATTCCTTACCCAAACAGATCAAAACTCACAAGTTTGAGGGAGTATCTTTGCTTTTGAGGACAGGTTCCAGATGCTGACTGTGCTGCGGAAGGATGGAACAGATGTGGTTACAGGAGCACAGAAGAGAGGTACTTGCAGTGTCAGTTGCATCATTAAACACAGCCTGTGCAGCTGGCTTTTGCTTATTCTCTGCTTCTTTCACGTGGTCTTTGTAAAAGCATCCTCCATGACGGCGTCTTCCCAGGTTACTACAAAATAATTCTTACCTTGCTCCAGAAGCACAGCACCCCTGACATGCTTCGAGTGCAGCTCTGCTTAAGTCACAAAAGCATCTAGGCATGGCTACAGTAGTGGGGTGCTTTGAAGGTGGTATGTAAAGAACAAATCATTAGTAGAATCTCAAAGGCACCCCCAAATTCATTTGCTGAGCATTCCCTCCAGCTCACTTAGTAGTTTGTCGAGTCTGTAAGAGATGCCAGAGTCCCTTCTGCTCTGCATGGATGTCAGAGTTTTATGTGGCCTTCCCCCTCCAAAAAGATTTGCACCCATTACTTGGCCTTGGGGTAGTTCCTCTTCTCCTGCTCTTAGACTGACTGCTATACACAGGTTATCGGCTGCTCGTCATCCAAAAGGTGTTTCTAAAAAAGCACCCTCCACTATAATAACAACATTTATTTTCTCTTTTTCTAACATCACATCTTTTTAAAGACATAGGTGGATGCCCAGACTTTGTTACACAACAGCAAAAGTAATTAAAAAGAAACTAAAGCCAAATATCAGGCAAAGCTTACTAATAGGATAAAATTCCTCCTGAACAGTGCTTCTGAGTTAACAATGGAGAACAAGATCGAAACCTTTCCTTTGGAAGTTTGCAACTAGACTAGAGAGAAAAGATCAGCAGTCACTGAACAGCTGAGAAGCAGCCCAGATGATTTAGCTGCTTTCTTTTGGCCCCCAAAACAGGCTGAGAATCCTGAACTGACGTTTAGTCAATACTGGCACCACCTACAACACAGGAACTCCTGGACGGTGCCGGCAGCATTTAGGTTTTGTACCTAAAAACCAGAAAGAGGAAGCATGGCCCCCAACGATGGGCATTTCGTCAAGTAACAGAGCAGCCCAGCCTCTGCTCGATCTTAGGCCAGCGCTAACATCCACGCTGGGATGCCCAGCGTGGGAACGCCAGACCCCGTGGGCCAGCCGGTCACTGCCATCCCGCAGGACAGCCGCAGAGC